GACGGTGTGGGTTTCGAAAAAGCTTCTGAGATAAGATTGTTGTGAATACCTCTATTTCGTATGGCAGCATATGATGAAGAGGTTCGTACGTAAATCTCGCCAGAGAACGCTGGCTGATTCACGTTGTACTGCAGCCGTTTGGCTTTACTGAGATGTTCAGGTGGATGCAGTCCTCGAGGCATCCTTCATTGTTTCGGACGAAGACGGGCTGATCTATTGTTCGTCATGCCACATGACGAACATCGTCAAAACTGGGACTCATGCTTGTAGAAGCCTCAAGTTAACACTAAATCAAGAATACTCTTCCCACCAATGCTAATTTTAATAATTCATGTCACTTGGCGAGAGACCACATTCTTGCAATTAAACAAGAATAAATATTTAATAAAATTTGTTATATATATATATATATATATATGTATGCTTGTGTAGGAGTATATGCACTTATTCCCATGTTTCGACAACGTAAGTAGTGGCTTCAAGTGCTTATAAAAGGGCTTAACGATCACTTTTGCCATAATCTCTTCAGAATGATACCAGCGTGGCTGTTACGAGAGTAACAAAATGGGGAATCGCCTTCAGCAGACGCCTTCGAAGAGTTGATAGCTTTGTCGCACTATCCGTTCTATGCCAAGAGCAGATCGTGTGCAAAACCCAGCTCGAAAGTCCTTTCTACTGCTTTACTTGCGGCTGCCTTAAATTCTAGTCGTGTACGAAATTTGCAAGTAGCAATCCGAAGAGAGGCAGGGCCCCCTCAAATGCATTGCCTTTTGAGAGAGCATAAGTGCAAATAAAGCAAAAGAGGAGAGTAATGAGTATTGTAAATAAAGCCGAGGCGAAAAAATCGAGTTTTGAGGAATCCCTTCACCTTTGCGGATCATTTCACTTGGCATGAGAACTTGAGTAGGAGGAATACAAAGATATTGGAACCCAGCTTGGTTGGCCTTCTGGTCGCCAATACTTTGACCCTCTTGCGATGGCTTTAATGATGGGGAGCGGTTTGCCGACTCAGAGGAGAGGCCGACTGACGACAGCGCGGCGTACGGGACCAAAGGTAGAGAGAGATGCAAGAAAAGAAGTAGAATTAGCTGTTTCAAGCTTTCAGCTCCCGAAACAATGAGGAGCTACGGCTAAGATTTGGTGATTCGAATGAAATAAAGGCAAGCATGTTAGGCTGAATAAGACCTGTATCATGTTAATAAACATAATTATGTACAGAGAAAATAGGGAGAAGGGCTGAGCAAAATTCGACAAAAGGATTCGTCTGAGGTCTTCTTAGGGCCCTGACAAGCATACAGACACCTCCTAATACCAGGTGGTGCGACAAAAAGCCGAGTAATCATCATTTGTGCGGCAGAATGAATATGCAGCGAAGTTACAATCAATCTTATTAATTAAAAAAAAGTGGCAAACCGAGCTGAAACTAACATTAAACCTATATATGAGGTATATCCAACCTATTTCATGATAAAGAAGTGGTAATTGAATCTTCCCATAATCAATTGAGTAGACCCTTAGTTTTCATTGAAATTCCATAGCCTTGCTTTTCCAAAAAGGTATTCTTATCATCATACTTATGACTGTTAACGAAACTGTGTGAATACATCTCCTATACATAATATATTTGTACTCTCTAAAACCTAATTGTAAACAAAAAACAACTGTAATCCAGACTTTAATTCGACGGATAAAACTAATAGTGACTAGCAAACGTGAAAATGGGCAAAAGCCCAACACAAATATCAAAATATGAAAATGAGTGAATTCAATTGTAACGTGAGAATTTCTACTGATTGCATTGTGAGAAATTCTGCAACAAGTCCATAGATAAACTCAAGCGAGCCAAGCATGATCATTTAGAGGCACCATCTTCAACACCGATTTACAACTTGTCACAATGACAAGGTTTTTCGTGAATATTAAATATATTAAATATCTCCCTCAAGCTGTTACTCAAGTTTTAAGCAGAGTATGCAAACAATGCAAATTTAGTATCTTACAATGAGCGCATCTTCCAGAAAGGGTTTCCCATCTATCATTTCTTGACGGATGCCAGTCAGCTGAAGAAAATAATAGTTTATTAAAAAAAACAAATTACGACAAATTAAAGTTTTAGCTTCGAAAAAGGTAAGTTCTTATAAAAAATTGGCAATCTTGATGAAGCTGTGGCACAAGCATATGCCTATGGCAACTGGGCTTGCAGAGAAAGTTGTCAAACCGAGTCTGATGGACTGATGAAGGTCGAGTTGCTGTAAGCTAGAGCTAATTTTCTCGAAGTTATGGGACCTTCAGATCGTAGCTGATGATTCAAGTATGATACTTCAATAAATAAAGATAAACCAGACGAGTGAAAAATGATAACAGACTTTCGAGGCGAAAATGGCTAAAAATTTCTGTTAAATTGTGTTCTACGATACAAACCTGGAATATTGGTATGAGAAATGAGTTGGAGAACAATAAAGGTTAATAAACTATGTTGTTATAGGAGGCTAAAGGGACTTTCGTTAATCCTTGAGTGGAACTGATCCCACCTATTCCCATTATAGTGTCTTGTCAACGTCTCTAGGAGGAACGGAAAATGCAAGGAACAGGAAATTACAGCTCCAATTTAGTTTAGGAAACAGTTATTTCGTTCGTCCATTCTGACAATTGTGAAGCTTGTCGGTTACACAAATTTTAAAGAGAATAACTAAACAAAAGGTTCAATTTTACAGCGAAATTTTCCTATTTCATTTTTGCCACTCTATGTTGGTTCTATTGTACCTGCTGACCCTTTTTTATTGCCAAATAGGCCTCGTTGGTCTATTTGGTAAGGCGGTGAAGCTCTCGCATATGTGGCTTGCCGATTGCTTCATCTCCATTTTTCTCGCCATGTACAACTAGTTCCTCCAGGCAGGATGGTTTAGAGCCTGAGAAGACAGAGTTTGTGAAAGGAGGCGACAAAGTCATACGTACCCAACAACCGACACCACAGATTAGCGCAAACCCTATGCAAGAAATGGACAGAAATTCAATTAAATTCGCTGCTCATGAAAAAACAATTTACTCACCTCGGTACAGAACTGAGTGAGGACTGGATTAACACGTGGAAGCACGTAAGTGTGGAAGACGGAGTCAGTGTGGAGAGTTTCAAGATTGAGCTTGACAACGGGAAATTCGATTATCTCCTAGAACAAGAGTACAAAGTCCGAAGTCAGCTTTCAATAAATACGCAATCACTGTTTAAGGAATATAAATTCGGATGGGTTTAGCCCTGAGCCTGGCTAGTCTTAGGCGAGGAGAGAGTTCTCCGACATCTAATCACAGACGTCGAGTGTGATACCAGCCTGAGACTTCATATTGTGCGTAGTGTTAATTTACAAGACTCGGCCTCCCATCCGATGCCGCATAAAATTGTAGTTTTCATCTGCAGGAGAAAACATGTAGAGCTTCGACGAAGAATGCAAGGAGCCTAAAACAAAATCCGTAAGACGAGGGTGTCGATATTGCAACATGAATTGACTGCATGCGACATGATGAGACGAGAGTCAAGTGGGGATTAAAGTAAAGCATAATTTGCCAAGGTTAAAGCGATCTGGGGCCCCAGTTCGAAAATCAACAAGATAACGCACAGAATCTGTGAAATGTGGTGCTAATTCACTTTCGCGAACCTATAATCTGTACGGCATTTGCAGGACTCGGAACCTGCTGATGGGGCCGGGTGGAGGGCGTAGTTGGTCCTGAATAA